AAGTCAACTATTTGGATGTAATGGGAAGAAGAAAAAAACTATTTGGATGCAACTTTCGGACAGGGTGTGTGAACTGTGAAGCGCGAATATATTTCGAAATTCTCATCGCCGATCGATTTCATATTCAAGATTACTACAGTTTATGCTAAACACTACTTATATTAACTACCGATAATTAAAAAATTAGAGTAGTATTTAAGTAAATATAATCCTTGCAAATGATACTAATATTTAAGCATCTCAAAAGATAAATCTAATAGAATTTACCGTTGAGCTATCAATTCCATGATTGTCGAACTACAAATTATTTTTACATGCTCTGAAATCGAGCCCACCACACATTTGCTTGGATGTTCTAAAATCTGATTTAAGTATTTTCGATTTTTCATTATAAAATTTGAAGTTACATATATATGTTTTCTTTTTGCCTTTTATGGCATAATATAACTAAGTCGCGCAGGGCGGCCTAATGTTTAAGCAAGACAAGCAATTGCTTGAGACCTCACATATATGTAGGATTCAAATTCTCTACTTTAATAAATAGGTGTATATGATAATTTTTTTTTTAAAGTACAATTTTCGTGAAAAAAGAAAATATGAGACCTCATAGATAAATTGGGAATAGGAATAGTTACTTTTGGGATTCGCCCCTACATAAATTATTAATAAATTTGCATCTCAAAAAATTAGAAAAATAAATTTCAAATAAAATTTTACTAAATAATTATTTTTAATACCAAAAAAATTTAAGACTCTTCGTTGAAGTTTGATTTTAGACCCCAAATATTATTGAGTTCCCCGTCGCGTGGTATGATAATAAATAAAGTGAATGATTGAGTATTGAAAGTAGGTTATTTGTCATTAATCTAAAGTGTAAGCAGCTGGAGCATTATTTTAGTATTTTAAGTAAAGAATTATTAATAATTTTGCATCTCAAAAAATTAAAAAAATAAATTTCAAATAAAATTTTACTAAATAATTATTTTTAATACGAACAAAACTTAGCTCCTCGTTAAAGTTTGACTTTAGGCTTAAATATTATTGAGTTCTCGGGTCGCGTGGTATGACAATAAATAAAGTGAATGATTGAGTACTAAAATTAGGTTAGTTGTCACTAATCTAAAGTGTAAGCAGCTGAGCATTATTTTAGTATTTTAAGTGAAGATATTATTTTGTTGACCTAGCTTTTCTTTTTTCTTTTTTCTTTTTTTTTTTTTGGGTGAGGAGGGGGTCCAACTAGGGGCGGAGCTAGCATATTGGTTGCGGTTTGGCCGAACCCAATACCTTTGGTCCAAATTTTATATTTGTCTTAATAAATTCATTAAATATGTAGAATTATTAATCTAGAACTCAGTAACTTAAAAAAACTAGAATTCTGAACTCATAAGTTTTAAATCCTGGTTCCGCCTATGCGTTCAACCAGTGTTTTAAAAGGCGTTTTCTGGGCGAGGCGTACCAAAAACGCCCCGGGGAGATGGTGTGGGGCGAAAGTCTCAAGAGGCATATGCCCAGCAATTCGGGGCGTATGCCCGGGCGTTCGGGGCGTAGGCCCAGGGTGTTTGAGGCGAGTTTTTTTAGTGAGGCATAAGCCCCAGAGATTTTTTCAAATTAAAACAAAATTTGTTGAATAAATCCTTCATATAATACCTAAAATTTTAAAATTCATCTTGGTAATTACTCAAAAGTTTTAAAAAGGAACTGAAATGTATTAGATTTAAAAGTCAAGACCTTTTTTATTGATTGAAGCCCCAATTCATGGTCTTTCCCAATTCTTTATCTTGTCCGCTAGTCTGCTAATATCTCCCAAAAGCAACGAATATTCAATTTTTTTACAAATACAAAGAGAACTCCATTCTCTTTTCATAGGAGCAAGTTCAAAGTTCAAATTGAAGGTTAGTCATCATTTTTGTTCGTCCATGTAGAAAACTTTATTTTTTTTTGACTCAAGTTACTTGAGTTTCTAAGTAACGTATAATAGATTGTTTTGACTATTTTTTTGTGGGGATGCGCGCGCGCGCGCACACATATATATATAGTTTTCTTCATTTTTATGCAATTTTACTTGTTTATAAATATTTACTGTAATTATATTATTTTATAAAATATTAAAAATTAAATACCTATGAGGCTTACGCCTCGTGCCTCGGGGCTTACGCCTCGCCTTACACCCACGCCTTTTAAAACACTGCGTCCAACACCCTAGTCATGATGATAAACATAATGCTAATAATTTAAACAAATTGCTAAGACATAATTAACAGAGTCATATCTCTGGTCTCAATTTGAGAGCACGTTAGATTTACACTCAGTATGGTCAGCTGGAATTGTTTATCATACCACCTTCTTCTTTCTTTCATATATTTAGCTAAACGATAGTATATAATATGGGCCTATTAATCAGAAGTCAGAACATCCTTTTGGAATACTAAAAGTCTACGGCTATTGTTGAGACTAGAATGTGGAAGCCACGAGCCCAACAACTTGCTTAAACAAATAAAATATAACATGAGAAAAAAAGAACGAACCCGCGTTATAACTAATCTCTATATATCTTCTTTCTTTCATCCAATCCTAAAAAATTCTATTTTCTGCAGAAACAAGAAAGAAATGGAGAAGCAAATGGCCATTCGCCTTATAAGCTTGTCAATACTAGTAATAGCGACAGCAGCAGCCATAGATAAAAGCCCAAAAGCAGTGGAAAAATGGTTCAAAAATCTTCCTTACGCAAAGCAAAAGACTACAAAATTCCATTTCTACTTCCACGAAATTTTCGCAGGAGATAACGAAACAGCTCCTGTTATTGCACAAGCCAACATCACGGCCCAGTCACCCACATTCTTCGGCATGGTTAGAATGTTTGACAACCCATTAACTATTGGTCCAGAGCCCAATTCTAGGAAAGTGGGCCGAGCCCAGGGAATTCATGGGGCCACATCAATGACTGAAATAGCTCTGTTTTTCGACTTCAACTTTGTGTTCACTACCGGACCTTATAATGGTAGTACTCTGAGTGTGGTTGGTCGAGTTGCTGAATCGCAGGAATACAGAGAGTTGCCAATTATTGGTGGATCTGGAATTTTTAGGCTTGCTCAAGGTGTTGCTACTGCTAAGACTTATTTCTCTAACAATACAACTGTTATTGTTGAGTATAATATCATTGTACGTCATTACTGATTCTTTGCTGTTACAAAAAATATATGTTTCTTAAGTTTTAGATCTCACATTTCTTACAAAAAATGTTGGGATAGCGACTGTGATGTTATTGTTTTATTTTGATGTATGTAAAAGTCAATTCACTGAATTAGGATAGATGATGAACGATCTAAATCACCAGCTATATATGTATATACATATATTAATATCTGTTTGTTTATTGAATGCGTAATAATAAAATGTTTACTGGTGTTAATTAAAACTGTTCTTAATTGTTTCGTAACCAATACGTGATGCTGCAGTGGATTCGACAACACAAAAGAGAACTACGCACCTCTGAAAATATATGTGTTTCTATCATTCTTTTTTATACAGCAGAATTATCGAAAATTTAGACTAGTCAATACATCAAAATTTGTCATACGCAACATTAGACTAGTCAATACATCAATATTTGACATGCACCAACATACTCTTTCTTGCTTCATTCATAATCATTTAACGCTCATCTCTAGAAAATTATCTTAAACCGTTTATGTTAACGGCAAAGGTCCAAATATACCCTTGTACTTTCGAAAATGGTTTAACAATACCCCTCGTTATACCATTGGGTTATTTATACCCCTGCAGTTATACTATGGGTTCAAATATACCCTTCATTTAAACGGAGGGACACGTGTCATCGTCCGGTTGACCAATTCTAAATATCTCCTAATTAATTAAAAAGACACATTACCTATTTTTTTTCAGTTTTTACAAAAAACCTGCTTTTAAAAAAAGCTAAAAACTATTTTCTAAAACAATGTTTCTGTAAAAACTGAAAAAAAAAAACTAAAAAGCAATTTTCTTAAGGAATTAAAAACTGGAAAAAACTGAAATTTTTTTTAACTAAAAACTGAAAGAAAAAAAAAATATTTATTTTTTCAGTTTTTACAAAAACATTGATTTAGAAAATTGCTTTTCAATATTATTTTTAGTTTTTACAAAAAAAATTACTTTAGAAATTATTTTTCAGTTTTTTTTAAAGCAATATTTTTCTAAAAAACGGAAAAAAAATATTTTAAATTTTTTCAGTTTTTAAAACATTCAGTTTTTACAAAAACATTGCTTTAGAAAATTACTTTTTAATTTTTTTTTCAGTTTTTATAAAAACATTATTTTAGAAAATATTTTTCAGTTTTTTTTTTAAAGCAGTTTTTTGGTAAAAACTGGAAAAAAAATATTTTTGTTTTTTTTTTGTTTTTAGTAAAAAAAAAATTTATTTTTTTCCAGTTTTTACAAAAAAAATATTTATTTTAAAAAATTACTTTTCGGGTATGGGTAATGAGTCTTTTTAATTAATTAGGAGATATTTAGAATTGACCAAAAGAACGATGATACATATCCTTCCGTTTAAATGAGGGGTATATTTAAACCCAAAGTATGACTGCGAGGTATAAATAACCCAATACTATAACGAGAGGTATTTTTAAACCATTTTCGAAAGTACATAAATATATTTGACCCTTTGCCGTTATGTTAATCATCTATTTTGATAGAATTACATATGTTCCTAGGCTCGATTCTCCTTCCATCACTATGCACCTTGAACTCCCCGACTCACGAGGCTACAATATAAAAATCAATTAATCTACTAATAAAAAACCACAATGTATTATTAAAAATAATTCAACTCCATCAAGTAGCACATGGCTCGCAACTGAAAACAATAGGACACGATGAATATATCAAAAGCAATTAATCACTTCACTATCACTTCCAATCCGAGAAAAGATAAGAGAATGGCAGAAGGCCATTTGATGGCTACAAATAGACAGCAGATGATCATTCTGCTTTGGATCTTCCACTTGGCTTTGTATGTTACTATTATTAATAGAATAAAAGCACAAGCATCCATCCGACTGAGCTAAATAAACTCCAATCATTAAAATCTCACAATAAATCTCAAGACTAGAAACTACTTAACCAGCAAGGAAGTGCAGACCAAATACAAAAATGCAGTTCAATGTAGCCCGGGAAAAGAGCATACCGGAACAGCTCATCAGGGGCATAACAGCAGCCCCCATTTACAATAGCTAAACTCAATTTGCTATACCATTAACCCATTTTTCATTATCTATTTAGAAACTTAACCAGCTAAACGTTTCCCAATCAAGTTTACAAGAACATTCAATCTCAGTTTCATGATAATAACCAAAATTGAAATTTGAACAGGGGGGTTGGCTAAACTCTCTTCTTAGGCTACAACCGAATGCTTTCAGATGATATTGGACAAACATTTTTCCTCATGAAGCTCGATAACGCATCTCCTCTCTCTCTCGTCTCAAGAAAACAATGTGTCTGCACATTAATTAGTTTATATCAGCATAGGAAGTCATCAACATAGAACTGACAAGCCACTTCACCAACATGGAATCAAAATAAACAGCTAAAGCTGAAATGAGGCAGGCATTGAATCTCAGATATTAATCAAAAGCATAGCAACATTTTCCCGTCAATAACAAACTTCATATAAATCCCATCCGGCTCCTACTTCAAGTAGATCACGTTCAGTTGTCTAATTCTTCAGCGTTACTATATGGACTTGCGCTTGTTCAATTTAAAGTAAGTTCTTTGCATACTTTGCAGGACCCACAAGAACTTATACCCATTCCACAGCCGTTTGACACGGGTATATCTTAAGCAAAATGAAGAGTCTACATTACAAGGTATAAGACAGGAAGTTCTACAATCAAATCTGCAAGGTACTAGTTTTAACCACAATAGGCAAGGTTTTAGGCAAGTGACAAACTTAAATATCGACTTCACCATTCTCCAACATAGAGTAAGACATTGAGTAAATATTTGGACAGCGGTAGAATTAATCAAACATCAACCAGAGGTTCCTCGTCGGGGAAGAAAAGTGTATTCAGACAGACCAAAAAACACACACTTTTAACCTTTAGTGTGCATTCTTTCTATCAACATCAATGCACACCAGAGGTTACTGATTTGACAGTTGGAATTTTGAAGCAGCGTAACGGATCACATCATGCATCTTATGGGAACAGAATAGGATAAAGGTTTTTCCTCTTTATCCACCTTATAACTTTCTGTCTTATAAACTGTTCCCGGCACCATCATCTTGATGCACACAAGTTCTTTTACCAAAGTTTATAAACATAAAATGATTCATACTAACCGTGAAGTGCAACTATAAGGTCAAATATACATATGCAATGCGAGTATAAAGACTAGAGATGTAGTTTATCAATGGTGAAACTGAAAAAGCAAGAGCTACAGCAGATCCAAGTTGAGAAACAGTGCAATCAGATGGAATAAATAACCCAAAAGCTACTGAAATATGAATGCAGTTCACAACATGGAAGAAATAATTGCAAAACAAAAAGAGCATCTTTTTCCCCATAAAAAAGGTTCAAAATCTCCAGAAAATGCTCACCAGAACAGCAACCAATAAAGTCCATGAATATTATGGCTGAGAAAGAAACCATGAAAAAAAAGGACATACTCACGTTCAGTGATGCAGATCAGCTGATGGCCACTATAGAAGTGATTTGCGGATTACTGAATGGCAGTATGGTGCAGTGGCCTTATTTTCATCATCATCAAAATTGCACTGGTTGAGAGAAGCTAAGCAGCTTTTGGACAAGTGGAATTAAGCTTACCAAGGCAATCTGAAGCTGTTCTGAACTGTTCAAACGAATACTAACTTGTCCAGACCCCTTATTGTTAATGTTGACACGGCCAATCAAGTTTGTGTGTCGTCCAATAGGTATCTGTGTTTGTGAATTGCATCCGATAGCAAGATCTCCATGCCAGTCCATAACCGAGAGCCCCAAAGTTGAGAGGAAACGACCAAGAGGATGATCTTTGTCTCGCAACGTCGCTTCCAAACTACCACCATAAGCAACATCACCACGGCCAAACATGGCACCCCCAGACACAACCAATAGTCCCCGTCTATTAAAAGCCAATTTGTCCTCAACTTTCACCCCACCTGTCATGACATCACCTAAGAGAGTTACTGAAAGACCAGCTGTCGCCTTATTCTTCCTATAATTGCAGAATCTGGTCTCACTGCGAAGAGTATAAGCAAGGTCTTTACCGACTGACTGCATATCAAAACCTACAGAAGTAGCTTTTCCATCCCCATGCTTCACTGAACTTGCAATTTCCATTTGAAGATTGGTGTCCTTTTTGTCCTTCGAAACCTGACTGGACAAAGATATAGGGATCTTGTCTTTGACAACAAACAATCTTTCTACATTGATGCCCTCATAACCAACATCATGGTCCCAACCATTAGGTTCTAGGACAGGCCTCACAAGCCACTGATTAGAAGAATCGAGATATCGATATCTATGAGTTGGATTATCAGAATCAAATGACGCTGGTAACGCCAAGTCTGGCATGGGTACTGGCACTGATGCTGCACCGCTAGTCTCCTCATCTACATTTTCACTGGGATCAGTTGGTGGTAAACTTTCAGCTGCAGCTTGCATTTTCTTCATCATCTTCCGCCTCTTCCTCTCTTCCTTCAACTGCTTTTTCATAAAAAGCTTTTCCCTGTATTCCAGCTCATCATTGTATGCCTTCCTCTGGTCTTTGGACAACTTTGCCAGCTGAGCTTTGGTCAAGCGTTTGAAAGGTGGCAGCTGATCATATTCTGATTCATCTTCTGAGTCTGAAGACTCATCCAGATCATCATCCAAGGTCTCATCGTCATCACCAAATTGATCCGCTGGTAGTTTAACCTGTGGCCTTGACTGTAGAAGGGATGACAGCAAGAAAGGTAAAGGAGGAGATCTCGTTCTAGTGGCATAAGGCCGGCCTGGTGGGCTATCTTGTAATTTAAGCAATGTGTTTGCTTCAGCCAATATTTTTGACGCAAACGACAGAAGTAACAAGTGAGGCTTCCAAACCTGTCCATTTGGCAACACTCTTTGTCCAGCCCTATTTGTCCTGCATGCTGAGTGATTCTCAACTAGCGAAACAGGATTCATAAGGCGCATATCTCCGGCAGCCTGACGTATTGCTTGCTGGACAACATGAGACCGCTGAGTTACAAACATGTCATAGCTCGTTACAGTACCATTGGGGCCTTCAGGTGGAGCAGATGCAGCATGCGTCAGAACAACTATGGCATTAAACCATATTGATGGTCCAAAGATTTCGGTAATTGTCCTCAACAACGGCATATCACCATAATCTCTGCTCTGCATATCCAATCTGTCAAGATACAGAACAATATCTGGGGGTGTCTTATTAATAAATCGTTTCACAGAATGAAGGATCTTCTCATTCTGGCGCTGGTCTGACCAGGAAGGCAGAAGCCCAGGAGTATCAATTACTCGAACCTTGATTCCCTGCACAGTCCCAACAACATCCTGAACCTTTTTTGTCCCCAACTGAAAAGCATCAGTGTCAAACTTAACTTCATCAAATATCGAATTTATGGTTGCACTTTTACCGACACCTGTTTTCCCAA